TTTTTTTGTAAAGATTTTTTATTTATTTGACAGGGAACACAAGCAGGGGGTAGTGGGAGAGGGAGAAGCAGGCTTCCCGCGGAGCATGGAGCAGCCCAATATGGGGCTCCATCTCTAAAAGGCAGTGTGGAAATGAAAGCACTACATTAACTGCTTGCTGTGTTTTTCCTTAGTATTTGAGGTGCTGGCCATATATGAGTGATATGATCCATCCTGCACTCATCTAAAGCAGTAATTTAAAACACTGTAATAGCCAAGTTTAAACAAATGAAACTAACTTTACAATATCTAAAATAATTGAACAGGTAATCATTTAATTTTGAGGCTCAGTTGGTTAAGCATCTGCCTTCTGCTCAGGTCATGATCCCAGCATTCTGGGATCAAGCCCACATCGGGCTCCCTGCTCAGCGGGAAGCCTGCTTCTCCCTCTCCCACTCACCCTGCTTGTGTTCCCTCTCTTGCTGTGTCTGTCTCTGTCAAATAAATAAATCTTTAAAAATAAATAATACAATATATTTTTTAAAGATTTTACATATTTTTAAGACCCAGGATGTATGTTTTAACACATCCCAACTTTGACTTATCAATAGCCAGTCCCACATAGCCTGAGACAACCAGACTGGACAGTGCAGACCTAGAGGGAGGCATGTAGGTAAATTTAAGTTGCATAATTAAACATGAATAATTTTTGGAGTCCTGGGGGGGCGGGGGCGCGTGTGTGGTGGAAACTATTTAACTGCTTAACATTTTGTCCCCCCCCCCTTTTTCCTGGCTGTTACTGTGCTTTCAGTTTCAAAGCCTTGTACTCCATAATGGATATGTTGGGGTTAATCCTTATAAGCAACATAGTTGCTGTCCAGGATATATTTTATTTTTAAATAGACTACTCATGACCTTGATCAAGACCTGAGCTGATGCAGAGCCTGGGTGTCTCGGTTAAGTGGCTGCCTTCAGCTCAGGTCATGATCTCAGGGTCTTGGGATTGAGCCCAGACTTGGGCTCCTTGCTCAGCCAGGAGCCTGCGTCTCCCTCTGCCTGCCACTTTTCCTGCTTGTGCTCTCTCTCTCAAATAAAATCTTTAAAAAAAAAAAAAAAGACCTGAGCTGTGACCAAGAGACAGACACCATTAGGAGGGCACATGATGTAATGAGCATTGGGTATTATGTAAGACTGATGAATCACTAAATTCTACCTCTGAAACTAATAATACACTATATGTTAATTAATTGAATTTAAATCTTATTTATTCATTTATTTTTAAAGATTTTATTTATTGGGCGCCTGGGTGGCTCGGGTCATGATCCCAGGGTCCTGGGATCGAGCCCTGCATCGAGCTCCCTGCTCTGCCAGAGGCCTGCTTCTCCCTCTCCCATTCCCCCTGCTTGTGTTCCCTCTCTCGCTGTCTCTCTGTCAATTAAATAAAATTTTTTTTAAAGATTTTATTATTTATTTTACTT